CACACATATACATGAATGTGCTGGGTGCTTCTGACGATTCTACGTCTCACTGGTGTTTCTTTGAAATATTCCTTACATGACAGTGATGTCTTTTCAAACACTAACAGATTCTGGACAGAAGCCGAAAATCTTGATGTCACTATTCTACAACAAATTATTTCGATATATACAAAAACGCTGCAAAACACAGCCTTGGGGGTTTCTAAGCTAAAAACATATGAACATTGAATGAAATAATGGGTAGAGTTTCACATATATACACACAAGCCGTACTACTTACTACGGATACATATCTAAATAGAAGAGGATTAAATTCAAAAAATCGGGATGTTTTAAAGGTGCGAGTTCGAGAGCGACCATGCAGATCCATATCCAGTTGAGAGCAACGACGCATAAGAGCTGCGACGGTCATTGAGATAACTGTTGGGTTCCTGCAAAGAAAATGGGCTTTCTTTGTGATGGGCTTGTTGGAGAAAAGGGATAAACTTGAATAGATTTTCAATCGTGGCAGCACACTAGCAAGAGGTGTTCTGGAGAGTTTTCGAGGAGGTAATCCTAGCACGCTCGAGCCATCCTAGTGATTCACCAATTTGGTACTAGTTGGCAACATATTTGACTAGGAGGGCCAAGCGCTTTGTCGAGAATATCACCTCACTCCATTCATTGTGTGTACCATATTCCCATTCAAATGCTTGAGTGAACATAAATGGAATTCAGCGTGTAGTGCATACCGCAAGTGGGATCAACCCTTCTCCTGAGTCTTTTCATCCGGAAAGAATGCCTATACCATCTCAGGGTTACTTGTAGACTGTCAGAGAAAGCGCTCCTCCCCTTTCCCAAATGAGCCCATTGAATTGATGTCAAGTCCATGTAACAAAGTTCTAAGCGGTAGGCTCAGTTCACTATAACTGGCGGCGACCACCATAATACCCTCTTACCACTGCGCTTTACCTGGGCTACTACCTAGGTGATGTTTTATGGCCCACCTTGAATGAGTCCACTTGTAGACTGAAAGACCCTCTTCTGGACACGGATTGGATGTCGTCGTCGAGATCGAGGTGGTTTAGTGCGAATATCGGCAGCTGGTCCCATGCCATTTCTTCTTGCCACCATCTGGATAAATGTTTAACTAGTAACGAATTTGATCGTGAAAGAAGAAGGACAACTCACTTTTCGGCCACAGTCCCCGCTAGACGAGTTCTGAAGAGGGCATCCATGCGGTCGCTTTGTTCTCGTGTGAAATAGTTCTTCCAATCACGACTACCTCCCTTGCGTATGAACTCGCTCTTATGCCTGCAACTAAATTCACATACCAGCATGGTGTCTTGAGATTCCTGCCCTACCAGAAAGTCAGAAATCAAATAAGAAAAATATTCCTTACAAGATGTTACAGTTTGCATTTTTATAACCTCGATTAGATACGGTCACAAAACTGCGATTCAGTTTTCATACAATGTTTTCTTTCATCTACTGACTATGGTCGCAGCTGGCGTTACGAAAGTTATCACAGAGTGTTGAGTAAACTATGACCCAGACGCGATTCAAGCCCGGATCGCCTAGCTCAGTAGTGGTGCATGAAAAAGGGCGTCAACAGATTACATGGCCCCGGTAGTGAAATGTTAGCATTCCAGCCCAGGTTACCACGGCGTGGTGGGATGATTCCGGCTGAGGTTTAAGATGTTTTGCATAGATCTCACGGGTCATCATGGTCGTGACTCTCTGGCGTTCGGAAGCCATCAAGTCCTCAATCTGGCTCATCCGAGTCAGAGCACAGAAAAGCCATGTAGAATTTTAGGATGGGTTTAAGTGGCGATCGGGCTCATCAAACATTAGAATAGTGCTCTAATTTATTTTCATATGCTGGGATTAATTTCGTAATGCCATCGATTAGAGCCCAGCTGTTTTTCAATGCATCGCTATTTTCTTCTCTCTAGAGCCTTGATGGTATCCCTGAGCCTCCCCCCCTTGAATTCCATGGTGGTCATTTAGCTTCAATTCAGTCACCTCTAAAGCTTATTCAACCTTACCCCGAACTTCTTTACTTTTTTCAATGTTTATAACGACTGAATGACACCTTCGCAAATATTTGTTCTTAATTCCATGGTTTCAGCATTGAATATTCAACTCTGGCCAAGTATTACTGAACTTATGCATTCCTTGAAAACTACTGAGATTTCAGGTCTTTTCACTTTTTCCTTATTTTGAGCATTTAAATGACACCTTTGATAATCGTTCTTAATTTCGTCTTTTTTCAATTCGAATTGAATCTTCTGGTACTTTTCCTCGAAATGCTTCCACACGACTACTGAATATCTACATGGCTAGGCAGAAGACTGTCTGACTAGAGGGAGGATTTCCATGGGAAGTTGAATGCCTTTCCTGGTAAGGGGGAGGTGACTTTGCAGAGTTTTCATTAGACAATGCGGCAGAAAATCGAAGTGGTCGAAGGACCATTCAAAGCAAATGATGGCGACCACTCCTTCTGATCAGGGACTGTGAAGCACTTCACTGAAGGTCGATGATTAGGCGTATAGGCCGCTTTGTTAGGTCCACGTGGATCTCTTCAACACTGTTCCCTACTATATTACCGATTTCCACCATGATTACTCTGTTTGGTCTCACAGAGGAATGGCTTGAAGGTCTCAGGGAACCACCCTACCATTATCGGTGCTGAGGTTCATATTCAAGCTACTCGTTTTTCAATGAATTTCGAGGTATTCGAGTAGCCTAAAAGTCCAAGCTGCTCCGGGACCCATGGCGCCACCCGAAAAATGAAAGGAATTTATGGGTAGTATTAAGTGGTGCTCAACTCAGTGGTGCTAGTCGTTAGCTCTGCACAAGAACTTAGTCTGCTAATTTCTGCTATTCACCTGATAAGACTAAATGCTGTAGTGTTATCACCGGTTGTTTTACAATGTGAAAACACTAAATCTCCACGAGCACGTGCTCGGCAGATTGGCATCTCTACTTTTACTTCGTGAAGCTGAACAGGTCGTCGTCACGATCTCCCTCTGACAGGCCACGACTAAATCTGGAGGCTAATTACAATTGACAGCCGATAGGTATTCACTGTTTTCAAACCGGTTGGTATCGGGGATTGGAGTTTCACTCTAATACTATGAACTGTTAAGACATAACCAGTAGTTAAAGTGAAACGATCCGAATTATTGTCTCTAATAATAACCATGCCGCCTCACATTGCAATCACCACGGGCGGTCAAAGTCCCAGTCACAGCGGCACACCTTCTCGCATAATTATCCGCCTAACTATACCCTTTGTTTCAGCAGCCAGCGTTGGATACAAGATGCTCTGCTATTATCTCTATTTTTACTTGATCCAAGCGCAATAAGACAGAGATCCGTTTCAATTTTGCCCATGTGTCAAAAAGCAGGGAAGGCCAATGTTCACGAAAGCTACTCATATGCAGAATTTAGAATTTCGAGTTCTAAGACGTTCATTACTGCCCCGAGCAGAAGTGGTTCATGAAGTGACACCGTCTACCAACCCCGGATTAAATCCTGCCTCCAATCAAGCCTCTTCCTCCGGAGGAAATAGCAGTAGACTGGTGTGGAAAGACAGGAGCTGTGCATCGTGGCCCAGATCACAGTATGACCCGAAATCACTTTCGAATGTCATAACAGTTCCGATATAGAGCACC